GGAGAGCACGTCAGGGATGACGAGAAAGTGACAGGAGAAAATCCGTCCCGGTCAACCACCCAAACATCAATAACGGGAACCTTATACAGCGCTTCCCTATACACGTATAGGTATACTTATACCGGTCGAACTCCCGCAGGCACAAAGAAATTACGGAGGCTATTACTTATCACCTGACCAAAGATATGGCTCCATCAACACTGTGCAAAATGAGGGATTTAGGAAAATGATCAACACCCTAGACAAACGCTACACAGTGCCGCCCCGCAACTATTTTTCTATTGTTGCACTACCTGCTGTATACACGCAGTGTCGAGCAACGGTGGAGATGGAATTACAAGCAGTACAACATTTTGCGGCAACGACAAAATGTGAAGCATTTGTTGTTTTTATGTTTATTTATTGTTTTTATGTTCAGTCTCAACTGTTACAAACTTGATGTGCAGTTAATAAGTGCAATAAATATTTATATTGGAAAAGAAAATCGTGAGAGAATCGTGATCTCAATTCTAAGCAAAAAAAATCGTGATTCTCATTTTATGCAAAATTGTGCAGCCCTAGCTATGCCTGTAACACTCTGCCTATTGCCTTGATATTAAATTTTTAGAGTAATAATTTTCGCAAGTAGAGGTGATATGGGCCATGAGATTGAGACACAGGCATTAGAGCCTGTTAATGCGTGTTTTGTTCGGGTTTCCACCGGCGTGGAATTACCAAAAACAGAGAGAGCATAGCCTAACATATGAAACAGGAAAAGATTGTTGAAATAAATGGATTACACAGCAACGTAACTGTATTCTAAATACCACCTTTTTAAACGGTAACTGTTAGGGAATACAGTTACTCATATTTTGTATTTTAAATACATAATACCAGCACATGTATTCCGTTACTCCCCAACACTGGTCACATCTTTCCTCCAGCTTTCACTGAGGACAAAGGAAATGTGATTAAAGGGAACCTCGACTATTACGACAAGTTACTCTGAATATGTTACAAATTATCTCCACTATATAAAAACATACTTGAGAATAACTAAAAAAAATTTGTTATTCATTAAATCTTTGTTGTTTAAAACTATTTTGGAGCCGTGGGAGCAGCCATGTTTTTTCGCACACAATGCATTCTGGGACGAGGACGTGTATTGGTTGTCGGCAGTTTTCTGTCGGTGCTTTCGTTCAGCTAACCTGTTTTGTTTTTTAAAGTGTAGCAACCGTATTAATTAACTTGCCTATTAGTGACCTGGTTACGACTTGGTAGACCAGCACTATCTGGTCTAAGTCTGACGTTATTAACCATGTCTGGGCCCAAACTCCTCTGCAAAAGTCAAATGATCACTGCAGCATTACTGAGAGTTGAAAAACTGTATAAATTTGTTCATCTGCAATAAAATGATCAGTGTGGCTGCTCTGCCAGGTGTAACAATTAAGTTTAACATGCAGGCATCCATGAAAACGGAATTTATGACATTAAC